TGCGAGAAAATGACGATTTACCTCTATGGCAAGGTCCAGCTGTAAAGAAAAAGCCACCATTTTTTAATGCACACGCGCTGATCACGTGTGAAATTATGCGCAGTAGGGATGCACAATGCAAAACTGGGGAATAACCTTAGTAGTATTCTGATTATTACTATTTTTCCCATTTCAACCCTTTCAATATCAAAGACATGTAACTATACCTTCATTGTCAGTAGCCCACAGGGTCAAGTTGTCCCTCAAAAGCTGCATTATCAACGTGCTGTCCTTGTACGAGTCTTCACTCAGTCGGTCTAGGTCACTAATGGCATTGTCAAAGGCTTCCTTCGCCAGCTTGCAGGCCTCATTTGGTTGATTTTGGATCTCATAATAAAATACAGAGAAGTTTAACGCCAAGCCCAAGAGGATAGGGTGTGTAGCTGAAAGCTTCTCTTCCTCGGCTTTTTTCTGTGCCTCTTTGTAAGCCTGCTCTGCATCTTGACAAATGCTCGCTCTATCACCTTCAGCAGCAATTTCAGCTTTATACCTACAGTAATCACCCTTCCTGTTTAAAAGAGAACAATCAGCTTATCAGTAAATGTAACTTATTTGCATGTTTTGTGTTGTTGTTGTATGTGTTTGTACTGAGTACATGGCCCTATTGTAGTTATGTTGTAATCACTAGGGATGGCTGGTTTTCGATTGGATTGTGGGCTCATGTCAGCTTAACTTGTTGAAAACAGGGCAAGTTTGTTCAGAAGCCGGTTAACGCTAACCCAGGATTAAAAGTTAACCGCATTATAACTTTTTCTTCTAAACAAATGTTTTTTGCTGCTTTGTTTTGTGTATATGGTGATTATTAAAACTCGAAACAGAAGGCCAAACAATATACAGAAAACCTCACCGCAAAGTTACATGAAATCAAATTTCTACCTTTTCCTGGGTGAGCTTTATCGGGCTCTGAACAACCCAGCCCAGGAGCTAGGCTATTAGGCTGGCCTAAATCTCTATATTAAGATGGTACAATAAAAATTTAGCAGTAAAAAGTTGCTGTTGTTGCATGGGGTTGAGCTTTAGTTTGTAGGTCCACATCAGCTTTTTAGCTGCCTTTTAATGACCTACATGACAAATGACAAAAAAGTATGTATGTATGTAATAGTTAGATTAGAATACACTCTTCTTGTCAGTCTCATTCAGATCAGATAGTAAGCCAGAAATATAATGTTTTTGGTCTAGTAAGAATTGATATTAATAACAAGCTTGAGCTTAAAACTGTGTTGTTAAAGATTAACTTATTTTGTTCCTCTGCAGTTGATGGCTCTGGTAGTAATGCAGTGACAACAACTACCACCCTTGACAAACAGCGTTTCTGAATTATTTGGAATGAGTTATTGACTGTCAACAGTTTATGTTAGTTATTATGTCAGCGTTAATTTAAGGGTCACTTATTTTCAGGCTCGATTTCTGCTACTCTCTTGAGTCCAGTCAGCATTCCTCGCCGAGAAGAGACAGCTGGATGCCTGAGTGACAAAGCCTGTCTGTGTTGTAAATTCATAATTTAATTCATGTGGTGCTTCTGGTCGCCAGTAATGTCATACACTTGAAGTAAATGATAGAGAGGCCCACAGGACACTTACGGCTCATAGCATTTGTATGTTATTTTGCCATTTTTTTTTTTTAAATTTTGGTCGTCCACCATATTTTGTTTCACAATATTGCCTTGGAAGGGCATTATTTGTTGTGTTCTAAGGAAGAGCTTGTCTTTTTTAAGTAGAGTAGAGCCATTCGTTTGTGGTGCAGCAAATGTCATAACAATGGTCATATGTAGGTCTGCATGATTTCTGGACACTATTAACTTGACACTCTTTAATTTGCCAAATATGTTTTGCCGAGCTAGTTTGGTTTGCTTTTGCTTCTTTTTTTTTTTAAAGTGATACCATGATTTTAACCCCTCAAATTTTTAGGTTTATTTCATAGAATTCCACCATTTGCAAATACAGTTGACTCCCGATAACTCGAACACTCGCTGACTCGAATCTCGCGCTAACTCGAACCAAAATCGATTTCCCCTGGCTTTCCGTCATACATTTACTTTAATTTTACCCTCGGTAAGTTGAACCCTCGATAACTCAAACCTCTGCTAACTCGAAGCAATTTTCGTTTTCCTTCAGCTCATTTTCTGTATAATTTTACTCTCGATAACTCGAACCATATCTGTCAATTCATGACAAGTCAAAACATTAAACAGTGTACTGTAGTCCAAAACATTAAATTTATTTTGAAGCAGCCATGTGAAAAAACCTGTACAGTTCACAGTTCCTGAACTTCTCCCTGCTGCTTTCCTTTGTCATATTTTTCACATTACATTACGTTCTAATTTATAGGGCAGTGTTTCCACCAGAGCGCGCCATTGCGGGAATCCCGCATTACAATCAGAGATGGCCCCTACAAAAACGAAACAAGGGCCAATTTGGCCCTTTCCTTTTACAAGACTGCAGGCTTAACACAGGCATAGTATTTTAAAAGCCATCCTAGGGCTCTAAATTGCAACCGACACGGTTGCCAATGCAACTAACATTTCATCCTTGGCGACCAAAATTCGGCAAAAGTTCTGGTTTAGTCGCCATAATGGTGATTACATTTCTCTGTGTTGATGATCAATGACGGTTATTTTGTCAATGCAGTCAGTGGTTGCATATTTTAAAAACTTGAATATCTCTGGAATGAAAAGAGATATTTGAAAATAGAACTAAACAGCATTTTTCTTCTCGTACAGACTACTTTTCTACATTTAAAAATGGCTTAGATCAGAAAGATGCGATTTTTGTCATAGTACCACTTTAAAATAATTAGTTTTGTCTGGCTTTGCCAGAGCCTAGTGTGGCTTTCCTTTGTTCATTATCTGACATTCTGGAACCACATGATTCAAATTTTCCCGACACTGTTAGCTCAACAAGGAACACATCTTGGTCATCAACCAACTTTTCTAGCACTCCTCGACGTAAATTTTTAAACTTTCGATCTTAAACGTCTCTAAACTTCTAGCATATGCCACATTGATCAATTCCACATCATCCACCATTGACCTGAGGAGAGAATTTATAGGCGACAAAAATCTGCTTGCAGTTATCTGATTGGCTAAGACTAACAAAAGAATCCTCGCATGTCCAGCTGAACTTTCATCCAAAAAGCCGCTGGTAATCAAGGCTAAGTTGTTTTCACAAGAATATTTTTAGTGGATCATGAAGAAAATCCACAATTAAAACCTGCAAAAATTTTGTGCCACAAGACATATCATGACTTTTTCAAAATATCCCTATACGTAGCTACATATACCCAATACTAAAAAAAGCCAAGATATACCCAGTACTTACATTTTATAAAAGAAAACCTTGGATTCACCAGTTGATGAGTTAGGAATAAGGGTGTTATCCAGGAGCTCAATGATTTGTTTACAGATCTCATTTAGCTCCTTCTCAATTTTCTCCTTGTATTCTTTAATGCTTGCCTCTTTGTTAGTCTCCCCCTTGCCTTCTGTTTTCCCCTCCAGAGAAGATATTATACGCCATGCTGCCCGACGAGCTCCAATCACATTCTTATAGGCAACGGACAGAAGATTGCGTTCCTCACTCTCCAGTTCAGTCCCTGCCTTTGCAACCTCCTTCATAAACTCTGCCATTTCTGAAATTAGAAAGTTTAGAGCGTATGCTTACTTGTAGTACATCAAGGTTGGAAATCAAAAATCCCTATACAATCCCAGACAGCTTTCACAAAAAATTGCAACCTTTATTGGAGGACTTTTCAGGGACGAAATCTCTTTTTCAAGAACTGCTGCCAGAAATATAATTTTATAAGTGATAATGGAAATCAAAATTATAAAATTAGCGCCCTCCTATCAGGCAAAATTTAAAATAAACATCCCCCTCCCCCCCATTTTGTGGACAAGTAATTAGACAACACAGGATGTATAATGTTTGTCATGCAGTATTAGATTTGTACATTGTTTCAGTTTGTGAACACGTTTAGCGAACCAATGAACATGTCAAGTACTAACAGTGCAGCGATTTAAACTTTAGGATCAGCATTTTATGTCAATAAACAGCTTATGTTGGTGTTAACGCGCAGATAATGTATTAAAAATATGATCATGTCAGGCCATGATTTGGGAAAAATTAAATAAACATGCCCCCCTCCCCCCCCCCCCTCCCCTTCTCCTAAATTTGAAATAAGTGCCCTGGGCGCTAATTCGAGGATTTACAGTATGCACCTTCCAAATAAACAAGTTTTAGGGCCACAAGTTTTTGCTTCAGGTCAATATACACAAGGACATCAGAACAAGAAAATGCCAATTTTTTGAACAGTTTGGACATTTTCAGCCTGGATATGAGCCAAATTAGCTCCAATGTACTCAAAAAGGTATTGCAACACGACAGCATGCTTCTCCCCCCATTAGCAATCAATCAATCATTTCCTCTCTTGCATCATCAGTTCCACTATGAAGTGGCTGCAGTCCATGCTGTCGTTTCTGTCTGCTCCTAGTTCAACTTCAAAAAGCTCACAGATGCAATCAGGTACAGTACCAATCAGAAGAAACCTAACAGGGAACAAGTTTGCGAACGGGAACTGAATGGATACAGAATGGGTACAAGAATGTGAACGGAACGGGTACAGAATGGGTATAGAACGGATACAAAACGGATACAGAACGGATACCAAACGCAAATGGAATGGATACAGAACGGTTACAAATCACAAAATGGAAAAAAGCGTTCTCCAGAACACAGACTATAAGAGAACACGTTCTTCAGAACACATGCTAGTAAGTTACGCTATCAGAGTGCTTACCACGGATTTGGAAACAATGTAACTTTAAATACACATTCGTTCAATTTTTGACCAGCCCAGCAATCTTGAGAAAAGGACAGAACGAATCATCTTAGGTCTTTTTTTATTTCTTTTTACACGCACTAAGCATGCATCTTCCCTGCATCTTCTAGTCCATTTCCTGCCCATCGCAGCCATTTTGTTATTGTCAACAAGCTCAATGTATGTCCAAATAAGGAAATGGATGGACGAGTCGAGTTAGACTGGGATTGAAAGGTTTCCTCATTAACAGAAACAAAACAAAACATCGATGTCTTAGTTGACCTTTATTACGGTGTTGTTCACCAAACTTTGCAGAACGATCGGCAAGGATAACATTCAGTCTTAACTTAAAATTCGCCTGTAAAAATACCATCAGTAAAAGTATCACAAAATGCTTGCTTGGGCTTTTTGTCCGTAATTTGCACCGCTCGCGTCCTCCTGCCAAGTTTCTTCCGCATTCTCCGAACAGTTTTTGCCGATACTTCAATGTTAAATCTCACAAAAAGTACTCATGTAAATACAAGAGCCGAAAGTTCATCTTTTGCTTGCATTTTTTCATCAATGGTGTTAAAAGTGCTTGGCAAGCTGGTTTACTTCTTCCTTTCCTCAGGCAATCACACAGATTACTGGTCGCTTTGTATCATTTCGGAAAAAGACTTACTATAAACTGGCCTTGAAGTTACAATACCATCTTCCCGTATTTTTCGAGTGACTGGACCCATATTTTCACCACGAAAATTTAAGTTTACCGTCTGTATTCTCGCATAAAGGCAACAGTTTTAACCCATTGTAAAAAAGCTAAAGTCTGCATATGAGCCAAGTGGCCCATCAGGCCGGAGCTTATCCCAGTTTCTGTAGCATGGAGTGACTAGGAGTATTTCTACTCCCCCCTGGATGGGATGTTAGTCCATTGCATTATACACCTGGGTGGAGAGAGGCACTGTGAGAGTAAAGTGTCTTGCCCAAGAACACAACACAGTGTCCCCAGCCAGGGCTCAAACCCGGACCGCTCGATCCAGAGACAAGCGCACTAACCATGAGGCCACCCATTGTATGAAATGCAAATGAGTGTCGATAATCTTGTAAACGAGTTCTCAGAAACCTAGTTCCTCTGAACGAGTTCCAAGAACGCTTACCGATGGAACGCTAACAGAACAGGAACAGAACAGCACAGAACTGATACAGAACAGGAACGGAAAGTATACAGAATGGATATGGAACGGATACAGAACAGATACGGAACGGATACAGAACAGGAACGGGAACACGTGTGAAACGGAAACAGAACACGTTCAGTTAAGCGTTCCCTGTTAGGTTTCTTCTGATTGGTACTGTAAGTCTTTAATATGGTGTAAGAAGTTAACATCATGCCAAGTCTTATATATCACGAATGACTTTGGTTTTTAAAAGGTCTTGACTTCAGTATGTAACTTAATTTTCTGAACAGTTCATATTTGTGTCCGGCCTCGCTATTTAGTATTGAATGCTTGGGTGATATTTTGCCTCAAAGCACTGGAAATTGTGTTTCCGAGCTTCCCAATTTCAAAAACTTTCTGGGGGGCATGCTCCCCCATACCCCCTATACACAGCTCGAAATTGCAACTCACTGGTTGCCAATGCAACCAAAAATTGCGCACTGGCGACTAAACTTTCAGAACTGGTTGCCAGCTGGCGACTCGCGTTTTGTCCAATAACTAAAAAAAACCACAACACAACTTTTGTTTTTAAATCTTTATATTAGGAAATCAATCAGATATGGTAGCTAGTATACAACTCACTTTTCGGTCCCCAGTAAAATAATGTCTGAATATTACAAGATAATCGAAAAA